GGGCAGAAGAATTGCCACCCCCAGTGCTGTGATATTTATAGCTGGTATCAAGATGTTGTGTCAGAGTGGGAGAGGCAGAGCCGTGGTGTTGGAACGCAAGACACTCGGAGTCACACATGTGTGGTACTACTTCATGATGCCCAGAGTCAGTTTGGTGCTCTTTAACCCTTTGTGTGCTTGTCCTGACTGTCACCTTGCTCCCCAACATCATCAGCTCTGTCTTCCTCACAGCTGTGGTTCACATCCCCCGGATTGAACAAGAGCCCCTCCTACCTGTCTAGCTTTTTACTCCTCTCTCTGGGCACCACCATTTCCTATCAGATCCCTGCACCGGGCTGAGAATATTGATCACACTGGGGAATAAAGCAGGTGAGGCGAGAGAGCCTTGAGTGGACAAGGGGGAGAGTGCCTCTCCCAAGCACCAGGGGAAGAGTGACAGATGGAGAACAGGGAATAGGAGAGAGGAGAGCAGAGGTAGGCAGGTGAGAATGTGGCACTTGAGTTAAATGCAAGAATCAGGAAGTCAGAGGAAGGAATTCTTGCAGGGGGTGCTGACGCCTCTCTGCTGGCCACGATGGTGACGATGCCTATGACAGAGTGACCCAGGAGCACAGAGAGCTTAACGAGATATGACGGCGCTTCTTAATCCTGACCGAATCAGGGAGAAAACTCTCTCCCACTTCCATGCAGCACAGAACAATCCCTGAACGTCCCTGTCTTCTGTAGGACAAGTTGTGTAGTTGAGCATCTCCAGCTCCTATGGATGTCACCTCTCAGGATATTAATCACTTCGATACCAGTGCTTCTGGTCTAAATAAGCACGCACAGTATTGTCCGGGCCTGGAGAGAACAAGGCTCCCTCGTAATGGGGGACAGTGGGGCAGAGGACTACATGCACATCATGCAACACAGACTATCGGTAACGTCCCAGCTCAGACAGTTCTCTGGGTGCTCTTAGCAGTGCAGCTCACCTATGAAGTTCCCAAGGTAAAGTCCAGGGAGAACCTGCAGGACACAAAAGAGAAGATTCAGCCTGAAAGAGGGCAACTCCTGGTGTGTTGCATCCCTTCCCTCCTCCCCTTCCCCTCCCCCCCGCCCCCGATCCAGCATTCAGACAGAGAGGAAGCCAAGCCAAGAAGAACCAAAACAAACAAAGGAAACCACCACTCTGCACCACCAACCCTCCCCCTTCCTGGACTCCCTGCCCACTCCCCTGCTGGTGAAGTCACTAAAGCGATTCCTGTGAGGAGAGAGAGTGCGCATGGTGGCTCAAATATCGTGAGGGTCCTGCTTTGACTCTGGTTGCATCCATGGACCGGTGAGATGGGTCTCCTGTGTCAGGAGGGCTAGCAGCCCGTACCGTCCCTGGGGGTCGGAGCACTTCTCACAACTTGCTAATTCCATACCGTGGCATTCAGATAACGGGCTCCTCAGTGCCTGGCAGGATCAGCTCCAGGAGGAACAATGGCATGAATCACGTCAGCAAGCCCATAAATGGGAAGGAGGAAAACATTTGTTCTCTATGGTCTGTCTTAGACCTCTAACAGTCACTTAAAGAACACCCTCTCCCTCCCCCGCTGCGCTTATTGGCCCAAAGATACTACTGGATACGTTTTGCCCCCAGTTAAATCTGTGCAACCTTACTGACTCGTGTGGAATGGCATCACATTTAGAACCACAGCATGGACGTAAACGCAGAATTTGGCCCTGGGAGCCGGAAGGATGTGACTCTGGGAAACTGCTGTTGCTTTTTTAAATAATCACTAATAATTAACAACAATTTGCAGTTTGCTAGTGCTTTTCATCCGAGAACCTCAAAAGTCATTTATCAATTAAACCTCAGACCCTGGGGAATTAGGGCATAGTTTCCCCATCTCTAAAACGGGGATATAATAAGGCACAGAAGTTACAGGACTTGCCCAAGGCCAACTACGAAGTCAGTGGCACAATCAGGGACAGAATCCAGCAGTCCCCTGCTCCGATCACTAGATCACGCTCCCTCCTCCATTTAGGCATATAGTGCCAGTCCTATAAGAAATCCTTCCTTTTCTTTCTTTTTCTTCTGAAGAAAACTTGTTCCCAACACAAGAATAGCAGGCCAGTTTGTCACAGAATTTAGGAACATAACTGCATGTCTAATCTGTGCATGCAATCATGGTAATTGTGCATTCAAATGAGGTGCACATTTTGCACATGCAATTGTGCATCTAAACTGTCTGAAAATCTGGTCCTAACGTTTTAAATACTTTAATTCCCACAATTACTCAATTCCAGTAATCTACCTACTGCTATTTCCCATAGTGAGAAGCCGTCTGTTGCAGACTTAATTTTGTTAGGGACAGAATGAACTTCTCTAAGCCATAGGTTGGAAACAAACATTTCTTTACCTCCCTTATTAATAGCACCTTCGACTATTAGAAGTGAGTTGTTTAATAATTCAGTGTATTCACACCTTCTTTGTTTACATTTTTACATTTCTCTCAGCCTCATCAATGAAAACTAATGGAGTTGTTTTCACTTTTCATAGAAATGTAAGGTTGGATGAGACCTCGAAGTCACTGAGTCCAGCCCCCTGTGCTGTGGCAGGACCAAATAAAGCTAGACCATCCCTGACAGGTGTGTGTATAACTTGTTTTTAAAAGCTTCCAATGATCTTCCATGACCTCCCTTGGAAGCCTGTTCCAGAGCCTAACTACCCTTACAGTTAGAAAGTTTTTCCTAATGTCTAATCTAAAATGCCCCTTTCTGCAGATTAAGCCCATTACTTCTTGTCCTACCTTCAGTGGACATGGAGAACAATTGATCACCGCCCTCTTTAAAATGGCCCTTAACGTATGGAAGACTGTGATCAGATTGTCCTTCAGTCTTCTTTTCTCAAGACTAAACATGCCCAGTTTTTTTAACCTTTTCTCATAGGTCAGGTTTTCTAAACCTTTGATCCTTTTTGATGCTCTCCTCTGGACTCTTTCCAATTTGTCCACATCCTTCCTAAATTGTGGTGCCCCAGAATTGGACACAATACTCCAGCTGAGGCCTCACCAGTGCTGAGTACAGTGAGACAATTACCTCCTGTGTCTTACATACAATGCTCCTGTTAATACACACCAAAATCATATTAGCCTTTTTTTGCAGCTGCATCACATTGACAACTCATATTCAGTTTGTGGTCTAACCTCCAGATACTTTTCAGCAGTATGACCACCTAGCCAGTTATTCCCCATTTTATAGTTGAGTATTTGATTGTTTATAGTCAGTTTCAAGTTCTTGATGCTTCAGTGGTTGGTTTGCAAACACTGCAGGGGAAAACTTAAAACTACAGTTTCACTTTTTTTTTAAAGTACATTTGGAAATGTTTCTATTGACCTCATCGTTCATAAGAGTTTTTTAAAAACATTTAAAATTTGGATCAAATTTATATCGGCAATGTGCCTTTAACAAACTAACTTTCAACTGTCATAGCAATTAGATGCTAAGAGATTGCTGTAGTGCAAGGACATGTCTAAAGGGGAAACTGCAGTAGCTATGTATCCAGGAATGTCCTTATTACACAACAACCTGCCTCATTCAGTCCTACTCCTCATAGCTTTGATATATTGCATCCTTCATCCAAAATATCACAAAGCTCTTTGCCGTGCAGTGATAGCGCAGAGAGAGAGAATGCTTTAATGGATTAAGAGTGGAGGTTCTTACACAGGCAAATAAAGTTACTTCCTTGCAACTTGGGAAAACTTCACTGAAGGGGAAGCAGTGGCTGCCCTCTCCGATAAGCTATGCCCTGGATACAGTATACAGCAAAGCCCGTGGTGTTAGAGCAGCTGCTACTGGGAATGCTGAGTAGCTGAGTGGGGCAGTACAAAGCTCACACCTTACAGATCTCTTGTCATGTGCTTATCTCATCTAGTTCTCTAAGGTGGTGTACAACTTTCCTTTCACCTTCACAGGATAATGTCCTGGGCCGTGCACTGACTTGCTGGCCACACTGCTGTAATCTCCTGGGGAGGAATCCCAGGATCACCACTGATCACCTCTGATGTCTGTCTACTTATCGCTGTCTTCCTAGGGTAGTATCACAGCTGCTTAGAACCCTTACTGACACTCCAGACCTGTACGAAGGACCTCGCCTACTGACTGGCATGACCTCAAAAGAATCCCCATGTGGTTCCTTGTCCAGCTTTGCTCAACGTGTAGTTAAAGACCCACTTCTACCAGAGGAGCTGGTTTTAGCTGGTCCCTGAAATAGATTTCACTGTAAAATTAAGCATACACGAGGGTGCCCTGAAATCCTACATGAAGTGGCACCTGGCTCTTGCTTTCCAAGAAATGGAGTCCAATAAAGAGACCTCACACCCTAAAAGCTCTGAAAAGCCTGTCTCAGAGAGAACAGAGACCCACAAAACTAGTGTCTCAGTATTGTTATTTTTACCTTATTCATGCCATTTCCCATGGTGCAAAGCAATTACTGTGGAAGGCAAGGGGGGGGCGCAGGTGTTGTCTCTTGATGCTGTGGCACGGCGTTTCCCCAGTTGAAATCTTAGCTGCCTCTCCGGAATGTTCAATGACAGGATGTCAGGGTTGCTCATGAAGAGATTTATACCTCCACAGTCACTGGTTTTTGTGGGCGTTTGTTTGTTTGTTTGTTGTAATAGTGGCGGCTTGCTTGTTTTTTCCCGTCACAGGCACCAAAACGGATCTCCTTGCAGCAGCTGCACATCTCAGGACAGAATAAACCTTCACTGAATCCCACGGCCGGCCCCTTCAGAAGCCCTTCTCCTCCAGGGACCCGCCTCCCTCCCAGATGGTGAAGCTACTCTTAAAGTGCCTTGTACCAGTTGTTCTCTTGACCAGGGCAGAGACAAGAGCGGAGAACCCCCACCTCTCAGCACTCATGTGGGAGTGCAAAGGCCATGCTGTCTGCTGACTTAGTGCTCCTGCTTTCCAAGCAAATCTGAACAAAGCCTCAGTGTTGGAGAAATAACAAAACCCTTTGTCCCCCTTGCTCTCTTAGAAGGAAGGTCTGTTAAGCCATGCAGCTGAATGCTGAAAGGGATGCCCACTCCTGCCTGTACCCCCCGGGGCAGTGAGTACTATGACACCAGACCTCCTACCTCTCAAGAGAAACTTGCAGCATGGCAGCAATTCCAGCTCTTGCTACTCACTCACACACAGGCAAAACTTCCCTTCCTCTTGGGTAACTTCTTGCTTTGTACTGCCGGGCGTGATAATGCAGCCTTGGTAGAGTGGAATGCAAGATCAAGGGATCACAGAGAGAAAGTGGCGATCAGGAACTGTCCATCAATGTCAGGGTACCTGAGAACATACCACATGCTATGTTCATAATTACACTCCTTATCTACACACATACCTCCTTCAGCCCGCTCCCCAAGGCATGCCAGCCGACAGCAGTAAGTAACCACCTGCCCTGTTTGCTACATGCTCACGCTCAGCATTGAGAGGCCTTCAGGCAAAACTCCTGATCCAAACACTTTTGAACTTTAGAGGATTTTGGATCTGGTTGGGCGCTAGTCTGGGACTGAGACAATTGCAGTTTGATTCTCTGCTCCACCACAAGTACTCCCTGTGTGACCTTGGGCAAATCCCTTAGTCTCTCTGTGCCTCAGTTCCAGGGGCGACTCTAGCTTTTTTGCTGCCCCAAGCACGGCAGGCAGGCTGCCTTCGGCGGCACGCCTGCGGGAGGTCTGCCGGTCCCGCGGCTTCGGTGTACCCGCCGCCCAATTGCCGCCGAAGGTGCGGGACCGTCGGACCTACCGCAGGCATGCCGCCGAAGGCTGCCTGACTGCTGCCCTCACAGGGACCAGCAGGGCGCCCCCTGCGGCTTGCCACCCCAGGCACGTGCTTGGAGAGCTGGTGCCTGGAGCCACCGCTGCTCAGTTCCCCCTGTGTGCAGCAGGGATAATAGCCCTGCGTCATGCTGTGAAGCTGAATCCATTAAAGATTGTGAGGCGCTTGGTACTGGGGGACATGCTTAGAGCCTTGTGACTGTTACTTTATATCCGTACTGTATCCACTGTGCCTTTAGGACAGGGGTAGGCAACCTATGGCACGCGTGCCGAAGGCGGCATGCGAACTGATTTTCAGTGGCACTCACACTGCCCGGGTCCTGGCCACCAGTCCAGGAGCTCTGCATTTTAATTTAATTTTAATTGAAGCTTCTTAAACATTTTAAAAATCTTATTTACTTTACATACAACAATAGTTTAGTTTTATATTATAGACTTATAGAAAGAGATCTTCTAAAAACGTTAACATGTATTACTGGCACGCGAAACTGTAAATTAGAGTGACTAAATGAAGATTCGGCACAGCACTTCTGCAAGGCTGCCGACCCCCGCTTTAGGACTTTAAGCTCTTTGGGGCAGGGATCCTGTTCACATTCTGCCTACTGTAAAGTTTCATGTACACTGAATGCTGTACAAATAACCAGCCAGCAGGCCCCAGACAAAGTGAAATGGTGTAAAAAGAATTGAGCGTGCATTTGAACATAGGCTGCAGGTAGATTCCCTTTAAATCCTTTTAGTAAAGAAATAATGTTTTGTCTCTCTAGCACCTACGGTGACCGGATATCCCGATTTTATAGGGACAGTCCCGATATTCAGGGCTTAGTCTTAGATAGGCGCCTAGTACCCCCCACCCCATCCCGATTTTTCAGATTTGCTGTCTGCACCCTCCTAGCACCCATCAGCGGTGGAGTTCAAAGCACTTCATGACACCACTCTGCTGCAGGGAAGACACATTATCTGCCCTTTTAAAGTGGGGAAACTGAGGCAGCAAGCGCAAGTGACTTGACGAAGGTCTGCAAATCCATGGCAGAGCCCGGAGCAGAACCCGTGATCCTGCAGCTCTTCCTCAGGCAGGACGCCCAAGGGAGTCAAAGGGGCGTTGTCGGGAGCCAGGGGCGGAGAGAGGGGGGCTGTGGCGCGCCTGCCTGTCACGCCTGCTCTGACCACTGGGGGTCGCTCTCCCCTGTGTGAGCCAGGAGCCTCCCTCCGCTACTGCCTCGTTCGTGTTTATTGACCCCATGCCTCACCCCCCAGTTGGGCACCGCCTCGCGGGCTCGCCCCCGGCC